AATAAAACTTTTTAGGGGAAAAGTTGAGAAACTAAACAAAGTTCTTGCAAAATTCTCCAGAATATATTTCCGAAAAATTGAATTCCCTACTTATGCGCCTGCGCCAGCTGCAGTATGGAGGTGAACCGGACGGTAGCGGAGAATGAGTCCTTGCAGTCGTGCGCTATCGGGTCAAGAAGGAAACGGACCATATAATAAACGCGCAAACCTGATTCAGAATGTGCAGTCCTGCTTCGCTCGCCCTTCCCTTCTCTTCCCTCCCGGGCGCAACTCGTCGGAACCCTCCCGTGACTTGTTTGCAGAGTGGGCAGCGGTCGTTAAACGCTCGTAAAGAGATTGAGTCCTCGCGCGGCGGACGCGCGCGAAAATTGGATTGCGACGGTCGTCTGTTTTAGTACGGCGGTGGCGGCGGCAAAATGTTTTGAATGAGAAGCCAGCGGGGGGCGGGCCCGGGTGGCGCCCGGGATTGTGAGAAACTGCTGCTGCTGGCGTGGTCGGACGGCACCGGTTATTAGGGGTAGGGTAGATAAGGCGTAAGGGAATGATCAGACAAGCGGCGGCGATGTTTGTGACGAAATTTTATTTTATTAAAGAAGTGACGATGAGAACATTGCCGAGTGATGGGGGTGATTGAGGTATACGTGTTAGTTGGCTTGAGGACGAAGATGGCGATGGCGACGACGCGACGGGGTTGCCGGGAATCCACCCCGAGACCCACTGTACGCGCTCCCGCGCGCCGCGGCCGGTGGTGCTCTTGCGGTAGAAATGTAGCAGAAATAATTCCCAGGGAAAGAGAATGTAAAAGGTGTGCGTGTGTGCGGGTACGTGTGTGTGTGCGTGGTGACCGGAGGAGGCAGAGAGCCAAGATATGTGGAGCTATCGCCCTCACGGACCATTGCTCCGGGACAAGGAAGGCGAGGGGGAGGAGGTCGAGGCCGGGGCGTCGGGGCGGCGCGGCGCCGGGCCGCGGGGTCGCGCCGGCCAGCGCCCTCTGTTGTATTTACCAACATATCGCCACACCCCGCGCCCCAAAGACGTATCTCGGCGCCGAGGCCGAGGCCCTCCGCGGCGTCGCCGGCATGATGACGTACAGCGCCGTTGGCGCCCGATCCGGAGTTAGTCGCCCGTGCCGTGTCTCTATCGACAGGGCGTCGTTGGAGCGCCGCGGAAGCCACCGCGGATGCTGCCACAGGTACTGCTGCTGCCGCAGGTGATGCTGCTGCAGGTGCTGCTGCTGCGGCTGCTGGGCCGTGCCCGCGGTGTCATGCCGGCGCGCGCCGGGCGCCTAGGCAGTCGCCGTCACCGCGAGCACGATGGGCTGCCTGCACTCCGGGCGCGGCGGCGGCGACACCCACACGTCCAGCTCGGTGCGGTAGCGGCGCGGGGGCGGCGGAGGGGGCGGCGTGGAGGAGGTGGGCGGGGCCGCCGGCGGGGGCGGGCCGGGGGAGGACCTCACGGTGACGGTGTTGGCGGGCACCAGGCACTTCTGTAAACGTAACAAGCACGTTGTTGTCATATGCGCGGCCACGACTGACGTCGCGATCCTCGAAGGAAGGGGGACGCGCGGGGACGTTACCTGGAAGCGCACCTCCTCGACGAACCTCCTCCACGTCGAGTCCCTCCGGCACAGCACCGTGCTGCTGTAGCCGGCCGGCTGGCAGCGCGGCTCCATCCTGCACTCGCTGACGTACCTGCCAAACCACACCATTCTTAATCGAAACAACTCTTCAGAGTTGCTATATTTGCTCTGTCCTCGACTGTATCGAAGCGTTTTGGTTGAATTACGCAAAAAGACATATTTTCTGACCGGTTAACATTGCCCTGCGCCTAAAATTGTATTTAAAATGCTTATACCTGCTTATACGTTACTGTTTCCGGTCTGTTGTTCCTCACCAATGCCACGCCCAACGCCCCCCCCCCCCATACAGCCCATTCACATAATCCCCCTCACATCCCCAGGACATCCTTTGCTTCGCGGCCGTATATTTTGCCCTTTGCTGAGGCATTGCGCCTCTTATCGTTTATATTTTGGTAAGTAACGTCTTCCAAGGTCCGAAAGAGCACATGTTACATGCATTTGGGTTCCCGGACAGTTTTTATTATTTGTCTAAATGCTGGCTTTTGGAGGTTATGTCAGGATACTTCCTCCCACTTTTGTTGGAAACAAGACCTACTTTATCACGCTGCTTGGTTAGAAATTCGTAGGCATTTTTGCCCACCACATCACAAACCCCGCGAGTGAGATTTCAAATTTGAGAAAGATCGTATTTTGAATGTCAGTCAACAAACTTACTAAATCACCACTTGAATCCTTGAAAAATTTTCCATATTCAGGTGTTTTTACCTTTTGGAAAATATCCCCTAATCACGATTTTGGTTTGGAGACATGTGCACCTACCAGTCTTTTGTCCATGCGTTTAAAAAACTAAAGTCTTTGTGTGTTTGTTTCTATCAGATATGGCCCTGGGAGGTACGTCAAGAGCCATGTCATCTCTCATCATCCCGCTACCCAAGAATGACATGACTGTTGAACCTAAAACTCCTTCGTCTGACAACCTTTGGGAATGGACAGTTGAACTCCGAGTCAAAGAATATTCGTTCTTGGAAATGGAAGTGGAAGTGTTTTGTACTGCTGCTAATAAGAAGAGTCCGTCATCAACAAGACCATTTCATTGGGGAGGCTCCATTAGCTGCTCCTGTTATGGCAAGGACGAATCAGGAATTATTTCACGATGTATTCAAAGTACCGGGAACCTGGAGATGGGGTGGCGTCAGCCCAACATTCCCTTTCAATGCTGTACTTTTACTTATGACCCAAGAATATTTCCCAACGATCTTCAAATTACCCTTAGTCTGCAAGCGACTAAAACCCAATTGGCTCCAGTGGCAAAAGTGGCACTAAAGCGGAAACCCTCTGTATCCGGTACTGTCTGCAAAAGTCTTGGCTCACTGTTGCACTCAGGACTGTTCTCTGACGTTAACCTTATTTGCCCTGATGGGGAGAAAATTCCTGCCCATCGGTGTATCCTGGCTGCCCGCAGCGAATACTTTAAAACAAAGTTCAAGCCTGAATGGGATGGACACGATGTTGAGATCAGTGTGGATCCACCTGTCCTGAAGGAGATGCTCAGGTAAAGTTCTACTTGTACGCTTTATAGTAGGATTGTATCAATATGTAAAATTAACTATTTAAAATTAGGTTCTTAATATGAACATTGACTCTATTTCAATTTTGAAAATCTAATGAGTATCAGTTATTGGAGTAGCATTGAGAACACATATATGACCACACTTTTAAATTTAAAAATTTTCACAATTAGTGTGAATTAATTCCAAAAATAAGCTATTTCATTGTCTCACCAAATTCCCATTTAAAAATTTCCCATTGCATTTTCTACATTTTTGTCTGTTAGGTACATCTACACAGATCTTCTTGGAGATAATATTGATCTGGTCAAACTTCTGGTAGCTGCAGACATGTATCTGGTCTCAGATTTGTGTGACGAGCTCACAGAGCGTCTAAAGCAAAATTTGCGATCTAATAGCAAGCCTGCTGCATCAGTCTGCTGTGACTTGTTAAAATCAAGTGCCACACCCAACAGTCCGTCTCTCTGGAATGTTGTACTTCATTACTTGAAATCACACCGCCATCAGGTATATGATTTAAACCTCTAAACTTAGTTTTCCACATTTATTTATTGTACCATTTGGCATTGTTTTGACGTTTCACTGCCTTTACTTTTCTGTGAATTCTGTTTTTTGCAGGTGTTGAAGTCTAAAGAGTGGGCCGAATTTCAGGTAGCCAACCGCCAGGCGGCTGCCGAAGCTGTGCTCGACATGTACAACCTTCCTGACTCTGATTCTGAAACTGATTCCGATTCCGATTCCGATTCCGATTAGTTGTCTATTAAGCAGGTATTTTCTTAACTACCAACTGTATTGCAGAAGTTCAATTCTTTTTGCATTTTAATAACAAGTAAATTTTTCAAAAAAATCTACTTTATACTGTAACTTTTGACGATTGCTGGAAAAGTCTTACTTTACCGCTCGTCGGAACGCGATGAGCTCATGAGATGGTGCGCTCCATACCTGGGCTTCTCCTGGTCCTGGTGGCCGTTGCCGTTGACGCCGCCGCACGGTTCCAGTTCATCGTCGTCCTCCTCCTCCCACTCGACGACCAGCGAGCTCTCGGACATGGTCCTGGACACGGTCGTGGTCACGGCGTGGCACCTGCGGCAATGACGGCGACGCCGGTCCCGCTCTTTCATTTTATTGAACGCCCCCCCGCGCGCTGGTCGATAAGATTAGAACAGACGCCGCCCGTCAGCCGTTGAACTAGCTCCTAATCGGTTCGCGACCCGCGGAGAGGAAATCGACAGTTTTCATTCGAATCGCGCGCCCGTGACGAAGGGCGTCGTGTGGGCGCTCCTCGGCGGCGGCCTCGCGTCGCGGGCCGGACGGGCAGCTCCGATAACGGCAGTCAGTCACTTTGTCGGTGCGCGAGCGATGTCGCCTGCTGCTTGATAGCGCGCCGATTGACTCAGCGGCGCGTCCCTTACGTCATGTCGGGACCAACCTGCTGAATGTTGTCTCTCTGCTTTACACTTTACCACATGTCTGCAGTTGGCTTGACCGCCTGAGCCCACCTGAGCGCGGTCACGAGGAACCCGCACCCCTCGGAAGGCGGCAGACCCGAGCTATGATCCACAGGTGTGCTCTGGGGCCCTTGAGCCCGCCCCGCGGCCATGAGGTCTTGTGTTGAACGCCCCGCACCGCAGTTCTGGCGAGGTGCTTCTGCCTGCACACTACTCCACAGCGTCCGCCACAATGGTCCATTCGCGGGTGGTTCGGGCCGCGAGCCTCGCGGGATGCTGTCCGCGGCGGCGGTACTTACAACAGCTCATACAGCTTCACGTCGCCAACGCCCAGCTCCCGCAGCGCGGCCGGCTGACAGGCCCGCTGCTGGTGACTAACGAACGACGCAGCCTTCGCTGCGCCGGTCCTTTTGACTGCCGTACTCATGAGGCCCGCGGGGCCGCGGGGCGTTTCCGCCGGCGTTGCGCGATAGCAGGGCGTGCGCGGGAGAGGACCGTGTGGCTCGACCGAGCGTCGTCTCAAGAATGACTTAGCTAATCATTTGCGATCAGTTATGACGTCATTGCGACCCCCGCACCCTTAGCTACCCGGCGGTGCACCTGTCACAGCTGCTGCCCCGTCCCTTGCCTACCTGATGGTGCACCTGTCTCAGCTGCTGCCCCATCCCTTACCCACCTGGTTGTGCACCTGTCACTGCTGCTACCCCTTCTCCACACCGTGCCCATCTCTTACCCGCACCTAACTGGTGGTGTACCTGCCGCAGATGCTGCTCCATCTCCCCATCTCCACACCCACACTGAGCTCATCTCTTACCCACACCCACCTAGTGCTCCTGCCGCAGCTGCTGCCCCATCCCTCACCTACCTGGTATGCACCTGCCACAGCTGCTGCCCCATCTACACACAGTGCCCATCTCTTACCCACTCCCACCTGGCGGTGCACCTACCTCAGCTGCTGCCCCATCCCTCACCTACCTGGTGGTGCACCTGCCCCGTCCCTTACCCACCGTGCGGTGCACTTGCCCCTCCGCTGCTGCCCCATCCCTTACCTACCCGGCGGTGCTGCCGCAGTTGCCGCCGCTCCTGCCCCTGCTCTTGTAGTAGGTGGCGCCGCTCTGTGACGGCGCGCGGGACCGTTCGAACTTGCCGGCCTGCTGCTGGTGCTGCGGTGTGCGGGACGCCCTGCCCGTCGGCGTCGTGTCGAACGGCCTCGGCAGCGAGTACGAGTGTCCGTACCCGGTTCCCACGTCGGCGGCCCTCGCCGCCGGGCGGCCTCCCTGACGGGATCCTGGTGGTGGCGGCAGCGGCGGGGCGTCGCGGAAGGACACGGGGGACCGCGAGGTGCTGCGGAGGCGTGCTAGGCGGGCCAGGTCCTCGGGGCTGCGCCTGCTCCAGTGCGTGGCGCGGCTACTGCGCCCGCTGCGACATACGCACCTGTCAGCACCGTGCTCCACTCATAGCGCTTGCTGACCGCTGCTGACGCAACTCACCTGTCAGGCGTGCTGACCCGGCCCGGCGCCGCCGCCTCGTCGCCGAGGTGGGGCTCTGACCGCGAGCGGGATCCGTTCGTCAGTCGGGGGTTCTGCGGAAGGGAAGGCGAGAAGACCTTTGAGTCGAAACGTTTACTCTCCTGTAAACTCGGAGGCATAGGCTCTGACAGCTGCGCACCTGTGCGACGGGCGTGGTGGGGCGGCTGGGCGCCTCGCCTGCGCGCGGGGACCTCAGCGGGGTCGCGGACTGACTGCGCTGCCGTACGACGACTGAAAGAGGCGGAAAGAACACGCGTGTGTGACACCACCACATATGCCAAAATGATGTCACTCGTTGTGTTGGCAGGCGTGTTCCTGGGCGGCAAAGGTACGTATGGCGCTCGGCCGGAGTTCTTACCCGTCCTCTGCGTGGCCGCGGGCTGGTAGCGGTGCGCGCATCCGCAGGTGCGCACCTGCTGCAGCTGCTCCTCCCTCATGGCTGGGCGCAGGCTGCGCAGCTGGGCGGCGCTACTCCTCGGCCGGGGTCGGCCACCCCTCGCGACGAGGGGTAGCGGCGGAGGCGGCGCGCCCCGGGGGGTAGAGACGCGACGCGGTCTGGAGAGGGCGCCACGGGGACGGGGCCGCGGCCCGGACCACGACGACGGGACACCGAATGGCGAAAGTGAAAAACGATTAGTTTCCCGCCGTCGGAAAATTAACGAAGCGCGTGTCGTGGCGGCGACTACGTGACTGCGGCCTGCGGCTGCACCGGCGGTGGCGCCCGCATCCAGGGGCACTGGCGCCGAACTGGGCCGGGCGCGCGGGGCGTTTGAATGGGCGACGCGGGTATGACCGGATACCAGGGGGGTGGGGGGCACGCGATGACAATACGAGGCTGGCGTCACTGCATGTCGGCGCGGCGGGCGCAGCCGCTGCTGCTGCAGCTGTGCAGGGGCAGGTGCGGCCGGCCCGGCCCTATAGGTAGCTCCAGGTGCCC